AGAGCTGCAGTATCCATAAACTCGAGAATCTTTGATTTGAAGTAAGGACCACTAGAAGTCGCTGAGACAATTGAGGGTACATTAAAATCGCCCATGATTAGACAATGTGAGTACTTTTGAGAAACTGCATAATGAAGCGCGTTTAACAGAATGTCATCTCGGTCTGCGGTGGAGTTCGGTGGCTTGTAGACAACTGCCAACAGACACGCATCCCACGTATTCTTCGAAGGTTCACCACTTCGTCCATTTAGCTGCATTTGGCAAAACAAAGCGTCGGAGACAGCAAGGTGACGTTCGTTAATAGCCTCACATCTCAGACAATTCCGATAGTGCAGAGCAACGCCGCCACCGCGAGATGGACGATCATTGTGAATAACTGACATATCACTGATTTCGATTTCCGTGTCGAGCATGTCACTGGAGAGCCAGGTTTCAGTTACAGCTATGATATCCCAATTGATTGTGTTATGTCGATGGCGCAATTCAGGTAGCTTAGAGTTGAGCCCCTGAGCGTTTGTGTAGCAGCACTTTATCTGTTGACACATTAGGAGCTCGGTTCGTTGTGGTTGACCTGCACGGATTATGCCGGTCTGTGTACGTTTTTTGTCACAGGCGTTTGCACATTTGTCTGACCTGATTTAGGAACAACCGAGTCCGGTTCGTCTGAATCTGCGGCCGGTACTTTGTTTAGGAACGGTCTTAGACGTACTTCAGGTGGCCCACGTTTTCTGTTGTCGTGCCACGCTTGGACGACCGTTGATACCATCTCAGGTGTAGCCACGGTGACCTCCAAATTTTTTGGCCCTTTACCCTGATAGTTTAAGGAGGCCGCTAGACGGGTGACATGGAAAGTCACGATATTTTGTATGTTGTAGAGCTCCGTTATGTACCTCCACTCTTCCATATCGTGCTTCTGATGTTCATTTATATCGCCATGGTTAAGTACTGGAACACCGTGGACCAGCACTACATTCTCGTTGCATCATGTCGTGACGCGACTGGGTAGGATTTCCATTTTTGCCTTTCTATCCATGGTTTATCAGGAAAAATGCGGGCGCTGAGAGAGGAATTCGTTAGCTTGTGGCCTGTCAGGAGCACATCCTCCAGGTCGCGTATGTTACCAAATGTTACTCGTAATAACCAAGGTTGTCCTAAATGCGGCGAGGATGAATTGCTGGAAATGCGCGTAAGATTAGTTGGAGGAACGTTAATTTCGAGAGCCCAACAAATCTCTCCTCAGCGGCTTTGTTCTTCCATTTGCCTACCTTTGAACTATTCGCTCTTGGGCTCTGGTACATTTGAACACATAATTGTCAGAGCTTTTTTGTTGTACACTAACTGCTTATCCTAAGAGTTGTTACTGGTAGACATTTGTCTAGTTTGAGTACTCCTCTTGTCCCTTGTGCAGGGAGAGCCTGCGCTGCTACATGACTGCATACGCGGAACGCCGTTTGTTGTGCTGTTTGTGGGGGTCAAATGTTGCTGTCCAACCCGTGACAGGGTTGAGCGTGCAGTTTGTGCATAGCTGTTTAAGCCTTGAGACACTTCACAAAACTTGGGAGGTCAATCGACAGGCCTGTCTTCGCTGGCGTCCATCAACAATGGTGTGCTATTTTCACCGTACTGTGTGGCTTCTTTACTAAATGGCTCTCGCCTTTTGACAGGTCTAGGATTCGGGCAACTAAATACACTAATCTGCGACTCAAGTTCAGTGGTTTTTCTTACCAAGCTAGCGGTCAATTCCTTTTGTACTGTGACCGTTAGGGCTAAACTTTCACATTTCGCCATAAGCGCTTGAATGATCCTAGCCAACGGTTTGGTTGAACATGCGTCACACACACACACAAGCCGTCGATCGACATATAGTGTTTTGTAGCCCCATCGGGGAAATTGGAACAAAGCGAGCATGTGGTGACCGACGTGCCTGGACCACTATTGACCTTGGATTTGTTGTTCATTTGCGTAGCTGAGACACTGTGTCGGCCCATCATGTGTGCACGGTGAACCGTGGGCAGTGAAATATCACAAAGGCTTTGCGTGGCAAAACGCGCTAAGGGAGTTACAGCGGTAATTGCGTGCTCAAAAAATAGCCGTTATTTGTGGTATCTAGAGGTGCACTGCAATAAGTAATGTGTTGTCTAGTAGCCTTAGAAAAGCTCCGTCGAATGGTATCCCAATGTAGTGTGAAAAATAAAAAACAACGCAGTTACACACGCAGGTCTTACCGAATGAACTGTCAAAGACGGTGTTCAGGATTTACCAGTGTGTCGTTAGTAGTACTGCAGTTATACAACGCACTCTGCAGTCCACTTCGCTGCATGTGCAACCTGTTCCTCTCCAAAACACGGAAGGAACCATTCTCTGTGACACTTCCACAGGTTGTTCTAGACCCCTCGTGCCCGTCTCCTCCAGACGCACAGCCATTGACGCACTGCACTCATTATCACATCCTGGTATCCATGCATCTTTGAAACTGGTCACTGAACGTTTGGTTTGGCCACGCATAATCAAAGATGTTCGTAACTGGGCTCGCGCCTGCATTCAATGCCAGCGCTCAAAATACATTGTCACACCTGCAGTCCTCCTGGTTCAGTTCCTGCCCCGGACTCTCGGTTCTCGCATGTACACTTAGACCTAGTAGGTCCTTTGCCTCCTCCACGCGGATTCGTATACATTCTTACATGTGTCGACTGTTTCATCAGATGACCAGAAGCCATTCCTGGAACAGATTGCACAGCTGAGACTGTTATCCGGGCCTTATTGGACCGGTGGGTTTCTCACTACGGATGCCCATCCACCGTCACAACTGACCGAGGAACGCCTTTCAAATCGTCTCAATTCGATAAGTTCTGCAAATATTTATGCTGCCGCCTCATTCATACTACAGTGTATTACCCAGCAGCCAATGGTTTAGTTGAACACTTCCATAGACAGCTTGTTGCCTCGCTCTGTGGCTCCTCCGACCCTAACTAGAGCGAAAACGTTTTGTTCGTAATCTTAGGTATTCGCAGCAGCATCAAAGCTGACTTGCAATATGCACCACCAGAGCTGGTTTACAGCACAACGCTAAAGTTGCCAGGAGAATTTATTTCACCTCCCGCATCGTCGGGTATGCCTCCGTTTAACTTTGCGTCCTCCCTAGCTCAACGTATGCGTTCACTACGCCCGACTCCGCCCCGTGAACAGACTAGAGATGTGCAAATACCCAGCGGACTCACTACCTGCACTCACGTCTTCCTCTGCACCGAAGCCATGCGGCGCCCTCTCCAGCCTCCCTACACTGGTCCTTCCAGAATTCAGCAACGGACTCCGAAACATTTCACTTTAGACCAGCATGGTCACCGAACAACGGTGGCCATCGAACGCTTCAAAGTGGCTTTCTTTGACGAGTCACTTACAACCCACCGTGATGCTCTCGCACAAACACCCGCATCTGTGGTGACTTCCCGAGCACTGAATAGCCCAGTATCCTCCGTACCCCTTGGCACGCAACTTATCCCGCCTCAACCCCAGGCAACCGACCGACGCGGTAGACAGGTCAAACGTCCGGTCCATTTTGCAGAATCGGTAAACGTTTTCTGTTTCCATTAACACGCCTTTTTTGTCCTTAATGGTTATCCTGCGTCTCATCCACAAACGTTTTGCAAAATCGCAAAAACCAAAACATTTTGAAAACCTAAAAAGCGTATTTGCTTTTATCATGCATGCCATGTTCCCTCTCCGGCGTAAAGCCACTTCTCCGACGCTTGCCCACCTTCTATGAGTTCTACCTTCCAGAAACACAACCACCGGAACTGCCCAGGCAACCGTAGGGTGACTCGCCAACCGGCTTAACGCAACCCCGGAGTAACTCGCCAGCCGACCCAAGGCCCCCTTCCTCACCCAAGGAACAGACAGTCGCCCTCGGCCGAAGACACCCAGGAACGGTTTGGTCCCCAAACGCCGCCTAGGCATTGTCGACAAGGAAGCCGGATTTCTTCGTGAGACGAGGACGCCTGGATTTCTTCGTGGGACGAGAACCGTGGACTAAAGTGCGATGGGGTGTGACACCTCCCAAGCGCACCGTCGGGTCTGCAGCAAAGGAAAGGTCCTGTCGGCCTTTATTCCGGACTAGCCAGTATTTTTGCATTCCGACCAACCCACCCCGACGGCCCACCGATGATGCACTCTGATCCACACGATCGTCATAAATAATAACTAACCAAAGCCTGGACCCAGCGAACTCTGCTGCACATCCCACCTTGAAAGCCCTTACTCAAGCTCATGCAAATATTCGCACCTACCCTCACCTTCCGTTTCCCCCACTAACAGCTCCATCGAAGGCTTCCATTCTTCAGCCTTCTAGGGGGAGGCCCTCGTAGTGTACCGGAAAACAAGCTCTTTCAGTATTTTGTAACATTGGATTTTACGGTTGGTTGAACCTTCGAAACGTCCACTTGTTTTACTGACTGCACATCCGTGGACACAAACCGTTTTGGTGAGTACCTCACTGCACGTTTCTCGCTCTGTCTGATTCGCTTCCTATTCTTGTAGCCTGCACAATATACGTTGGGTTCAGTCACCTCCGACTTCTATACTTTCGTATTTGACATGTCTTACGTGTCATTGCTTACCGACTAGTATCCCAGTATCCGCCCAACACACTACAGATCTGTTAAACCGATTGCGGTTACTTTCACAAGTTCTGCATATTTATCTCAAGTATGTACCACTGTGTGTGCGGGACACCAGAGTCTCCTACACTGCAACTGAGACCTTCTCAGACACCTGCTAACTGCTGTCGAGCCCATGGAATTCGTGCATGATGGTGGACATGTCGGTCGCCACGTTAAATGCGTCTTCCGAAGCAATATTATTGGTATTAAGGTGCACTACTTTAAAAATGTGAGTAAGCCATTTAAAAAAGCTTAAGCCAAAAATGTACGAAGTCGCGTTGGGTAACAATGGTTTCATGACGAGACAATAGTACGTTCACGAAAATGTGTTGGTGGAGTAGTTACCTTTAAAGCCTTTATAGAGCGATTTTCAAAGGTTTGGCCGATGGTTTCCAATTGTACGAAAGGATATTTGGAAGTCAGTTCTTCCAACGTGGCCTCAATCTAGGATTCAAAAGATGATTTAATTAGTGGGTACATTCGGAACTTCTGAAATCGTTCGAATTACTAAGGGTGCAAGTACAGCGATGTCCTGTAGGCGAACGGACAAGACAGCAAAATACCGCTAACCAGTTCATGACTGGCTCACATTCGCCCATTACTCTCGTCATTAGTGAATAGCACGCGATTTAGAAAAACCCAACCCGTAAAATTTTTTATCAATTCCACCATACCATTGCCAATAAATGTTAGCTAGAGGTGTTATGTGTCGTTCAAAACCCCAGTCATTAATAGTTCTTGGCCTTCTCTCCAACATTTCACACCCAAGCACTTATGTAAAACTCACAGTAATACGAGACTTTCCAGGGACTTGGGCGCAACCGTCACCCCGATATGACGCTGATGAGTGTTCTAGGGGACTAAAAAGAACAAAAATGACTATGGCTTATAGTCTCGATTTATCGAAGACGGTGTCAAATTCTTGAATTTTCTCCCATTGAGAACACTTTTTATCTTGAACTTCACCTTCGCGGTCATGATGTACGAAGGAGTTGGCTGCGCAATGAATGGGAACTAAGTTGTGCACACCGTTCACTAACGATAAATGCTGTGTCAGTGTGCAGTGGTGGACTGCTTTATAAGTCCTTGGATCCGGATGACGGCGTATAGTGCTCATCGACACCGGTCGATCACAAGTTAAGAGCTAATTGCAAGTGTTCAACTTTCGTTCACGTGCACCAGAGGGTTTCATGATTGTCAGCGCCCTGATATACCCCAGCCAGCATGCCAGACAAAAAAATTTGATACTTAAGTATACTTCTTCGGAATGCTGTTCATGCTAATGACTGTAATTCCTATCTAGTACAAGACTTAATTTTTAACTCACTTCCCGTACTGTTCTGTAGTTGTCGTGTTCCTTTCGCCACATGATCCTCGGGGACCTAGGTATCCTTTTTCGAGTGTGCTGTTGCTCCGTTGCAGCAATGAACCTGACAATTTAAACAATCCGAGAAACAAATGTGATCGGTCCAGTTTGGTTCGGATCTCTCGTCGAACTGTGTGATGACTAGTGGCAGGAAAAGAAAATTCATTCATGCTGTTACCTCATCCAACATTCCACCACCAATGTTCCATACTTTGCTGTTTCTAAAAATAATTACACCTGTAGAACTGGGAAGCACTGCTAGCCGCTTTAGCACTTTCGTGTTGGACTACTTATAGTGAAACGACTGCATGAAGTTGAAGCTACCATCTCACACAGGACTTACATCTGCGTGCCAAGAATCTGATGATGAATCCCGACTTCAATATTAGAGTGGTGTGACTTCATCTCGACAGCATGTAACACTGTAAAACACACCGCTAAATACACGTGGGAATCGTAAAGAAAGAAACGATGACCAATTCGATCACAATGTTCACAATTGAATTGCCAGGCTCATTCTACTTCGTAGTGAAGCAAGTTGGTCGCTGCGGCGGACATAGAGCGAAAACCAGGATAAAATGTCTAAATTTAAGTACTTACCGGTAAATACCTAGGTCAATCCAAACGTGTATCTTCTGCGTCAGAGGAGACGTAGGTAATCTGATGACAATCACCAGCCAGTTCTTTCAAACTATATGTCTGGATCGCACAGCACTGGGGAGCTCATTGATTTCCACAGTCCCTTCGTTGGCAACCAAACACGCGTCTAAGTTGCATTTGAAGTATCCGTCTATTCTTCCCAAGATTTCAAGGTTAAGAAACAAGCTTGCCACTGAGCAGCAGTGAGCGGCATTAGCTTACTTACGGCTTACCGGCTCAGGAAAGGCATTTCGTTTTGCTCCGTGTTTGGTTTTACGAAGTGCGCCACCCGACATCAAGCCGCACTCGGATTGGTATTTTCCGGATTTTGGTTTGGCAACAATCTTGTTATCTGATTAGATTGTCAGAACTAAGTACACACTTAAACTTTTCAAACGTGTCAATTGGGACAATTAAGTACCTCGTCGAGTATTTATGGCTCAGAAGTCTATTGAAATAGCAAACGAATAATAGGCTTACTCATTGATGTCAGCGATCTGAACTTCACTTGGAACATTGTACTTTTGTAAGATTTTCTGAAGTCTTTGCATGCCATCTGGAGCAACTGAGAGATAGATATGTGCCGGTTCCTTTCGTTGTGCCCTCCAAATTTCGTACAGGCCCTTATGAAGTGGAAAAATACTTCGAGAAGATAACAGGCAGGGAAAACGAATTTAGATACTAATAACGAACTTGATATCCGCAAACTAGCGGTTTGGATGTATTGGGTTGGAAATGAAATTACTACGGTTTTTTGATATTTTGAAGTTAATAGCCGTATTTTTGAACATTAGTTCATAAGTTGTGTGGACATTGTATATCATTATGAAGCCTGTTTTGCGCTCTATCTAGTAATAGTGATAGTTTAGCTCATAAACACGTTTTACATCTTTATAACATGCAAACTGGACAGAAGACGGATTCATACAATTTGCTTGAACCAAGTTAAACTTGGGCGAAATGCAGCGGAAATGGTCTATGACATTGCCAGTGCATTTGGTACTGAACCACTAGTAACCACACTGTACAATAATAATTTTAAAAGTTCGTACAGATTACGTGAAGCTTGAAGATGAAGAACATCATGGACGGCCATTGGGAGGGAACAACGGTCAGTTCAGAAGCTTAGTTAAGGCAGATCCACGTAAAACTATTCAACATCTTGCTGCTGACTTAGCAGTATCCCATGTGACAGATTAAAAAATCTACTGGAGATTGGAATGTCGAAAAGGCTTGATAAGTGGGTGATGTACGAATTGAATGAAAATCAAAAAAGTCGCCGTTTTGCTGTGTAGTTTGCCATTCTTCTACGTAATAAAAACTACCCGTTCCTCGACCGGATTGCTACTTATGCTTAAAAATGAATCCTTTAGGACAATCGGTGGCAAACTTCTCAATGGTTGGACCACTACCAAGCTATACAACAGTACACAAAGCGGAAATCACGCCCAAAAGTATTATGGTGGCTGTTTGTTGATTTTCGGATGGTCTGATCCATCACAGCTTTCTGAATGCAGGGAAAAGCATTAGGAGGGAATGTATTATCAACAAGATGTCAAAATGCACCGAAAACTTCAATACTGCTACCCGACACTGGTCAACAGAAAGGGACAGATATTGCTCCATACTACCGCTCGGCCGCAGGTCACATCAAAAGCCCTGCGGAAGCTCCAGGAGCTATGCTGCGAAACTGCCTCCCCCACCATACTCACTTTATCTCTCGCCTACCAAATACCACTTTTTAAAGTACCTGGATAACTTCCTCCGAGAGAAATGTTTTAAAACTCAAGAAGCTGAAATGGTCTACAACGATGTTACTGCCAACAGAACTCCGGAACTTTATTCATTCGAGTTAAATAAACTTGGTTCCCGTTGATAAAAGTGTGCCAATTTAAATGGTTTTTATTTCTAAGAAAGATGTTACGTTTGAGTCAATACAGGCGCATTTAAATTTTAAGCCTTAAAACTGCAATAACTTTATGACCAACCTGATATATACGGCGATCCTTTTATCAAGCATACAGAATCCGGTATGGTTGGTCCAAACAGAACCGGCAGAAGACGGTCTCTCCTCTTTCTGCAGTAGATAATTCAAGTAGGGTGGATAAAGAAACATACGCAGATAGTTTCCTGCCACGATGACCTACGGGATCATCTTGGGTTTCATTGTGACTCGCAAGTGCATCTTCTAAGCTTGTTTATTGAAGTCCGGAACCCACATAGACAGCCGTTTGTACAGTGACGAACTTATCATTCAACCTTCAGGTGTTTGTGACAGTTTATTATTGAAAAGGTGTAGGCGACTTGACCTTGAATGTGTGTTTAGGGTAGTAATGCTTTACGTTATGTCCCTTTTTTCTCTATTTTTCTTCTTATTCGTCCTTCCGTAGATCGCTATGGTTGTAAAGGAGAGAAGCGTCAGGCCGGTCGACTGATGTAAAGCTGCTGCTGATGCTGATGATGATTATGAGGTGGAGGACGAGTGTGAGGATGTCGATAGGTCACAGCAAATGCGATGAGAATGGCAAAGTAGTGTCACAGGATGCCTTGGATGATTGATGTGCTCCTAAGATAATTGTTACAGATTATATTATCAACATCGCCATGCCTGATGACGTCTTGGAGGTGTCATAGGCGCATGCTACGTGAGTGGACTAGAAACCGGAATGTCGTCATTGAAACCTGCTGCTATGTCCTGGACTTGTTGTGAACTAGCATGGATTTTGTAATGGTACTAGTTCAGAACCATTCGAGCGCTCAAAGTTCCATGAGCAATCGATGTCGTAACAGACACGAGCTCACTCAAAACTAACAGCGTTAGTCCATTTCCAGACTTCGTGCTGCCTCGACCAGCTCAGTAGCACCCACAGCATACAATGAGACACAGCATTCGTGTATTCGTCACGGGGCGGTTAATCATATATTCTCTTTTAATTATCCGTAGTACGCCGCCTACGTAAAATTCTGAAAGCTAAGTAGCGTACTTGACCCAAATCTCGCCTCGTGCGTACCCATGTGCGAAGCAGTTGCCGAAGTCAACACAGCTTTCCTTGGTGGGACTGCATGAACCAAATGGCCCGTACCTACTCAATAGGCCATTTGGTCGCCTGGCACAAACTCTACTCCGGTGCGAATAGAACAATTGGCCATTCAGGACTACTGAATAAAAAACAAAAGTGTGAAGGAGAGATGAGAGAGAGAGTACTGATGCACTGTGCGAGTGGCGGTGGACTTAATACACATGTGTCCCGCATACACTCACGTAACCCTGTACTTCACCTTATGAGCTGTTAGGAATAAAAAGCAATTTCGCAGACGGACTCTTAGGAACTAAGAAGCTGTACCAAAATGCATGGATGACTGAAGGGTAGGCGGTCTTAAAGAATGGGACAGTGAGAGCAGTCGGTTCTCTGAATATGGCTTAATGGTGCAACAGCGCAACCATAGGAGGGATGAAATATCTGCTAAGGCGGAAGACAACATACTTTCCGCGTGTTCATATTTTCGTAAGACAAGCGATCAGCTGTAGCACAGTAACTGTAGATGCAGTCACCATAAGTAAAACGAACTAATGTGGGTGGCAGGAATTTAATTGAAAATTTAAGGGACGAAATAACCTTCAAGCATTTGCCGTTCTGGTTGTCGATGTGTACGCTGAACTCGGCAGTTTTGCGATAAAACTTTCCTCACCATCCAAGATGAAATCATCATCAATGCGCTATCATGTGGCGGAGCAGTGAAATGCGGAGCGTTACTGTGTTCGTGTCGTCTAGTCGTGTGCGTGAACAATCGTCTGGGTGTCAGGCTGACTTCAGATCATTTGACGGGCAAAAGACCACCGAAATTGGTCTCTCTGGTACGTGCCTCATAAGTTTGGAACACGTCCCTCTGCGGTTGACGTCGTCGTTTACAGTGCCTGTCCGGCCTTCTATTTCATGGAATAAGTTGGTGATCCATCACCCGTGGTGTGGTGTATATGACTTCTAGTTCAGCATGTAGCTTGATAAAAATGTCTGTAGAATACCATGCTTCCAATAATTATACAGCCAGCCTTGAATTCCCACTGGATAAAATTTTAAGTTCTGTAAATCGAGGTGTTGGTCTTCTTGGCCTTCATGCATGGAAATCGATAAATACGGGTCATGTCTTCATAAGATCATTTTGAGTTCCGTGAACCATGTTGAAAGTTTCCTTACAGTTTGTCCGATACAATGTTGATCACATTCTTCGCAGGTATTCTTGTACATGACATCGTTCTGACTTGCCTGTTTGACTTCGTTCTGCCACTTGGTATGAACCACAGACCGGTGTTAGATCATCCGGAAGCGTGGGATTTAGCAAGATGATATGGGCCGCGTTATGGTCAAACAGATGAACACACATGCTCATAACCGCCCACAACAGTATGGAAAGTGCAGAAAGTACAACAGAACAGACCGCCACGTTGCGATGGCCCAAAAAACACGCAGAAGTTGAATCCACTATTGGACATCGGGTAAACAACCCAAGGAACCTGCGCAACTTAGCACTGAATATGCAGTTAAATAATTTCACGAAGAAGCCTGAGAGAGAGGTGCGTCGAAATCTTGGACAGATATCAACTCTGCACAACCGAAGATTATAAACTAATCGATGGAATAAATTTCGACTTCATAGAGGCTTCAGCTACTGATTACTGGGTCAGTCTTGAATAGGTTTTGAACACAAACAGACTGTCAGGAGAATCAAAACAATAAATTAGACCAACAGTTGTCCCTGTTATGACCAGTAAAAAAGGTCACACGTCTGCTTTCCAAGGAAGAACGAGAAACACTTAGAAAACTAGAAAAGGAAAGCGCATTTCAGTAATAATGGATAAACCGTATTACATTGCAAATACCAAACAACTCAGCTCCAATACGACCAAATATCGCCCCATTGATCAAAACCCTAGTTCGAAAAGGGGTGCTAAAATCAACCCAAAAACTTCAAGCAACGAGCAATATTACTAAAAAAGGACGATTGAAGTTGAAAGCTGAGGTGCAAAGGTCGAAAGGCTCTATGGACAATCAGCAGTACACATAGACGGAGTAACACTGGGTCCAATCATCACGCTGCCAAGAATCCCATCGTACAATTAGGAAATTGTCTGAGAAAGAAATTAAATCCCTTAATTGTCTGACCTGAACAAAGTGTCGGCAATGCTGAACAATTCGTCCTAAATCCTAGTTAGCCTGCGAATTGTGTAGCCCAGCTGCCGTCTCTCAGTGGCTAAAGCTACTGGCTACTTGGCTTCAACCTCTAGCGGTCATGGGTTCGATCTCCAGTAGGGGACCAAGGGAATGTGTGCAACTGATGAGCCACAATAGGACGAAACGCTTCTGATGCTTTTCCGGATTTTGGTCGAGCTATGTAGTTTATGAGCCGTTGGGATGAATACATTAATTATTCATCAACAACCTAAAGGGTGTCTAGATAGAAGGAAATGAAATCATGCTATTATTCTACGTCACTTCACTCTTCACATCTATGTATCATTAACTTGCAAAAGAAACACTGATGTAATTACTTCAATATCTACCCAATACAATGGGAAACCTCAAGCAAAGTGTGCTTGGGGAATTCTGGAATTCCGTGTAACCAC